CCCAGAGATAATTGCAGGGCCCAGAGGTGTTTTACCATACTTTCTTGTTCATAACCGACAGAAGGAAGTGAGTCATTTTCCTAAGCATGGAATATGTCCATTCAGGTTAATGGGGTCATTCTGGGACTAAAAACATTGGGCTAATAAATCAACAGGGTAGGTAGGCATCCATAGGCTCATGTAAATTTAGTAATAAATTTACCCTTTGGAGCTAGATTGCATTCTGAGCACAATCAGAGTTTCATCAGGAAGAAGAAAGGGAGAAATGGATTTTGGATAAGCACCCAGCAGAGATCAGCAGTAACATTGCTTCTCAGTGGGGGAGAAGAGACCAGTGAACATATGATTTAGAGTCAACTTTTGACAATAAAACTTTTGTGATGATTAGATAGAAATATTTATTTACAGCATAAGGTACAGAACTTTGAGTTTCAATTGAAACCTAAAGTCATTTTCTCCACAATCATTAACATATAGGTGCGCAGTTTTTTTCCAGACTTACTGGTGACTCAGTCCTAAAAAGATAACTTGCAGAATTGAGTAGTGTAATTTGTAACTTGGACTAGAATTTTAATTGAGCTTTATTTGCATTTGTTGAAAACATAGTAATTAGGTATGTCTTAATTGTAGAATGTGCCAAATTAAAGAGAAATAAGCAGTTTCAATTATACCTTCTTTAAAAAGAGAAACTTGAAAGTATCTGTATACTCAATCGCAGGAGAAAATAGCTGATAGTTCAGTGCATAGTTGGTTAAAATAGGCATAAATGTTTGGTGAAAATAGAAATTTCTATTTGGAAGGAGATAATTATCTTTCTTTGTGTAGGCTATCTGCAAAAGGAAAATGAATAATCTGTAAAGATGAGCAAAATTAAAGAGAAAAAAAGTAAAATTTATATGTCATTTAAAATAGTAAATTATCTAAATGTAGGTTTACGATTAGTTCTTACACTGTAATTTACTGTATGAACACAATAGATTCAGCCATTTGGTGCTAATATATTCCCAGTAATTTTCTTACTTGAAAAATTATGTATGTTTTTAAAATTTTTATTAGCTTATTATTTTATTTTATTTGAGTTGTACCTTATTATAAAGCTACTATTAAATGTACACAGATTGGTTTTAAAAATAACCTGACTAGTATATCTGTGACATTCAGTATATAGTATATGTTAAAATTAAGGCTTTGTAACCAATTTATTTAAGTTTTTAAAACCACAGTAACCTTGCACAGGGACGGGGTAAAGTGAGGTATTCTTATTTTTCCCTATCAAATAATTTTAGAGTTTGAAATACATATAATGTGGTGCTTTAAAAGAACATCTTATGTTTGTACATATGAAGCTACATATCGCTAGTATTTTTAATCAGTTGGCATCAGAGGGATTAGTGAAATCACTGCACCCCCAGGAGAATTTCGGCGATAATGTATTATCGAAATTAGGATGTTTGAAATAAGCATAAAGAATCCCCAAGTATACAAATACCATCTTTAAATAGTCTACTTGCTTGAGGCAGGAATCTGAGCTAGGATTTCTTATTTTATAAAATGAGTTTACAAAACCCAAAGTTAATAAATGATTTAATACTAATTTTCTCTGTTACACCCAATTTTGAAAATAAGTGGTACTACATACACCAGAAAATTATTGTGAATAGGAAAAGAATTGGCAACAAATGTGATTTCAGTGTATAGTTAGTTGTGATGGCTTTGCCTTTATTCTGTTACTGAGCCAAGAGCAGACATATGCCCCTGGTACTTCTGCCAACTATCAGGCAGAGGACTCGCAGAATTGCCAACACTGCCATTCATGAGTTATGGGGATGGCCTCTGGGGATGACAAAGTGGTTTACACGTATGGGGCTCGTCTTTTTGTTCATAGTTTCAGACATGTGAGGAGGGTTGGGTAATCCATTAGACAACGCATACAGCACTAACAATAATAGCATAAAAATACACCAGAAACTGATGCGAGCCGAGCCAAGTACAGTTGACCATTGAACAACATGGGTTTCAACTGCGTAGGTCCACTTACATATGGACATTTTATAATAAGTACAGTACTATAAGTGTATTTTCTCTTGTGATTTTCTTAATGACATTTTCTTTCCTCTCACTTTATTGTAAGAACACAGTATATATAATACACATAACATTCAAAATGTGTGTTAATTGGCTGCTTATGTTATCAGCAAGGCTCAATCAACAACAAGCAATTGGTGGTTAAGTTTTTGGGGAGTTGAAAGTTACATGTGGATTTTTGACTGGAGGAGGCACCTCTAGACCCCGTGTTGTTCAAGGGTCATCTGGGTAATGGGCCTTCCTGGTATTACTGCAGTTGGGGTCTTCCTTGTTTTTCCAGCTTGGTTAGAGGGAGTTGGTCGGCATTGTTCTGAAGCTAGAGGAATAGTGATACCCAGGATCGGGGAGCTGCTTGTTTGGGTGGGATAAAGTCATGAGTCAGGTTTACCAGTAATCTTTCATTTAAACAGCCATTTATGAGCAGCTATGGCTTTCCTGGCATTCCTCATTTTAGAGGCTTAGAGAATGGGAGACAGACATGGGACAAGGGTAATAACAAAAGTTTGTAGAAAGAGCTATGGAAGTTTTGGAAATTTTAGAAAATCTACCAGCATCCATCTATTTAATTAGAGTGTACCAAAAGACCTAGGTTTGTAGCTCCTGAGAACTTTTGAGAATTGTTTTACAGTGATTTGGTCAATTATCTCCAAGTTGAGGCCACACTTGTTTCCCAAAGGGTGGAGGCAGTGCTTGACAATAAGAGCACAGCCATGTTGAGGGTATTGACAAGATGCTGCATCCTTACCAAAGCGACATTTACATTCTTGTTGCGGGGAGGGGCTGTCATTTGAAAAGGCTTCACATAATTAGCAAGCCCTTTAGATAGTATGCTAGGATATTCTTTCCCTGGTTTGCATAGGCCACAAAAATTACAGCCTTAACTCAGCATTTATTTGCAGGACTACAGATTTTCACTAGCAAAGGTCATCTAACTGGCTTCCTCTAACCTGCACAAATCCTGTTTACATATTGGAAGAGAAGAGTGGCCCACAGTTAGGTAACTTGGTACAGAGGGAGGTCAACATTTCTGAAGTCATTTCTGTAGGTGCTCACTTGTCTTGGAGCCACTGCACATTTGACCTAGCTTCTTGAGTCATTTCATCAATGTGAGCCACAAGTCACCACCTTCAGTGACCACACAGGATTGACAACAGGATTTTGAAATGTATTTCTCACTGCTGTAATTATCTTCTGGGTGGACTGTGTGATGAGTTGGTGACCGATTGCTGAAATACATGCTGTGTGAAGCGTGGAATCTAGCAGTCATGAACGGAGTTCACCAGAAATGCATGAAGGTCTTGCTAAAGTACAGCTGTACAAGGATGTGATATAGAAAGATCCCCCAACTGGCAGGTGTGCTGGCCCCAGATCTTCCTGTTTCCTCAGCATTTAGTGGGAGGAGTTGGTCTAAATGACTTTCAGAGTATCACCTGGCTTTAGATTTGGTGATGTTTTTATTGTTTGCTGGACCTAGGGTAAAACCCACTAGAATGGGAAATGTTGGCTCATGTTTTCAGCCAAATGTGTCAACAAAGAGAATTCTACAGCTTTTTTTCTTTTGTATTATGGAAAATAGCTGGCAATTTAAAAAACCTGTATTACTTGGCTGTAGCCATGTCATCATTTCATAGTCTCAGATGTGTGAGAATTTAGTAGCAGAACACTAAGATGTTGAGTTTGCTTTAATATGTCCTATTATACTCATGATATTATGTTTTGCTAACTTAGGTGCCCTTTGTTTGTAGAGAAGCAACACTTAATTTTTCACCTGAAGATGTATTAACTTGATTTAGAGGTCTATTCTTTGTAAAAGATTGGGAAGAGGCCTAACGGTTCTATTTGGTTAGAAGCTTAAAATGATAGATTCATACTTTATTTGGTGATGAAGAAAACTGATGACCTCAGAATTCAAGGGTATACCTCAAAGCCCCAAACTTTAGGCAGTCAATCTCAGAAAAGATTTTACGGGAATGGCTGTTAATATGTACATCTATTGCTTCCCGCTTAATATAGAAATTCTGAAAGTTTTTTTTGGTAGGTCGGAACCCACCCTAGTTACTTGTCATTCTTTCAGATGCAAGCAGTTGGGGGCATTGGACCATATGCTTATGAAATGTTGGTTCAAAGGATGGAATCTTGTAATTACTAAGTAGAGCTTTTATCTACAAAGGTCAGAGATATATAAGGTTATTGAATCACACATTTTCATGGCTCCATCTGCCTCAGTGTTCCTGCCATTGTGTAGACTGCCATGCAAAATGACTTAGGATTAGAACATGGAGTTCCATTTGCTTACAATGTTGGCCTTATTTAATGGCAATGTAAGGAAAAGTTACAGAGGCTGTGAAGGTGCAGCTGTCTGTGTGCAGAAATCACAAGTGGATACATTTGGGAGCCTGAGGAAAGGGATGGTGCTGATGTTGGTGCGCTAACTAGAGAATGGCATAATTTAACACATTAATGAGGGGCCAGACTGGATCCACTTCACCCTTACCCAGGAGGAGAGGAAGCACTTGGGGAGCGGTGGCTTGTTTTCTTTTCAATTTGCAAATACAGTGAACAGGACCCTCACGAGTCCGTGCCGTGAGGAGGGCCAGCTAGTTCCCACAGCAACACATGCTCTGTGTCAAGGAGGCTGTTACCCTGGGGAGATTGGCACCAGGCTGGGAAGCTGCTTCTCTGTCTGTTGGCACGTCATCTACACATATGAATACACATGTGCATAGTGGTCATCCGCATCACATAATCCATTTTAATTCCACCCAAAAGTAGACGGCATTGCACCCCATGTAATGGCAGGACCTAATGGTAGAAAATGGGGGGAAATAAAATCCTCACATATATTATAAGAGTCCTTATTTTTGTTCCTTTGTTTCACTGTTTTCTTTATCTGCATTTTTTTTTCCCCTCCCAAGTGGAAGAAGACACAGAAGAAAGCTCAAGATCAGGTAGAGAGTCTGTGTCTACAGCCAGTGACCAGCCTTCACATTCTCTGGACAGACAAATGAATGGGAACCAAGAGAAAGGAGATAAGACTAATAGAAGAAAGGATAAAACTGGAAAAGACAAGAAGAAAGATAGAGATAAGGAAAAGGACAAAATGAAAGCCAAGAAGGGAATGCTGAAGGGCCTGGGAGATATGTTCAGGTAAGTCTTTACCAACCGAAACCAGATCATTCCTCAACATACATATGAGGTTAATAAAAAAATACTAAAAGCACAGAGTTGAAAACATTGTCTTTGAGGTCAACCAAAATTCTTTCCTAATTTCCAGCCTTGGCTACTTCGTTTTTACATTCTTAAGGATTTCACTTTAATTTTTTTAGACCTTTTTAGCAGCCTTAAAGATATCTTGCCAGCCATGGAAATGACTGTTAAGAGGCAGGAGGGCAAGTCTGCATCTTAGCTCTGCATACGAGTAACAGCCCCACAGAGACAAAGGGCTGTTAGAGCAGTGTGTGTTCTTTTGTGAGTGTGAACAATGGCTCATTATTTAAATTTATCGTAGTTCAAGTTAGCAGTAGCATTTAAAGATTCATTAAATAACAATTCTAATAAAAAATGCTACAAATAGAGCTTCAATTAAGCTATGTTGATTAATTTGTTACTTTACGTCTGTAAAGATTTCATTAAATGTGGTCTCTGGCTGTTTTCTGACAGCAGTTTTTGTGTCCCTAAATTATATTTCAGGATTACTTAGCATATTATTCTTTACAAATCATTGCAACACAATAAAAGTGACAAGTTGTTAAGAAGTTTCAGTGCAACTCTTCCATAAATGTTCATCCATGGTGATTTATGATATTCAGGTATTTAATGTGTAATAGAAAGATTACTTGATTGTCCCATAAATTACACCCCAAAACACATCGTGGTGATGGTTTAAATTTGAAAACATACAGCATAGTCACTCAGCTCTTCAAAGTACTTATACTACAGTATGAAGCCCTTTCTTTTAATGTTTTTAAATTGACAATGTGAATGAGTTTTTATTTTTACACAATTTTTAAATTGATGATCTCGAGGTTGACCTCAGTAACTCAGGAGTTACTCAGGATAATGTCAGGCCTACAGGTGGAGGTCTCAGGGTCCAGCCTGCAGGCCACACAACACAACACAGCACAGCACAGCACAGCACAGCACAACACAACAAATGTGTTCTGTAGATATCTGATTAAGTCGAGTGCATGGAAGAAATAAGCTACAGAGGGCAATAACACAAAACCCAGCCTATTAGTGTATCAGCTTTAATTTAAATACAGTTGGATTTCTCTCTCCAGTGCGTCAGAACATTTGGATTTTCATAGTTTACCTTAGAGTTTTTCTTGATTATATACTAATCCTTCTGAATGCATTTTAAGTCAGATCATCTTTTTTCATTACATTCCATATCCAAGAATGCTTGGGGTGAAGTTGGTGTAATCGCTGCCACTTTATTTCAGTTTCTGTGTTATCCAGGAGGCTTTCCATTCCGCATATGGAAACTTGACAGCTCATAAACTGGCACCTACGTAACACACAGAAATAAGGCTGCTTCCTATCAATTAAAATTGGAGGAATTTGTATGACTGTATTTTTCAAGGTCAAGAGTATGGAAGGGGAGGAAGCAAGCCTCCCCTGACTTACAGGACCCACGTGGAGCCCAGTCTCATTTCCAGGGTTCCTCCAGAAGTGTTACTGAAGGATAATGGCTGGTTAGTTTCCATTCATCAGCTACCGGTTACCTGATAGATAGTGTTCTGTTCTTCTCATGCATTAGAGAATAAGCAAATTTGTAGTTTGTGAAATTATTTTAACTATTAATTATTTTTTTCTGTAACTTGTAACTCCAGAATAAGAGAAGCTTTGTGGTATTTTTCTTTTGGGGACCAGAGGAGTGGGGGCGATGGGGACCATGGAGAAATGTATGTTGTTTCAAAGGGACCACGAAGTACAACACAGCCCAACCCCCTTTTTTGCTATGAGCTCTGTGAAATGTTACATGATGTTTATTCTAGACCAGATTCTATAGCTTATACGTATAACCATCTTTGTGACAGAGAAACAGGTCCATTTATAACTTTGAGTGCCTATATATTCTTGTAAATCAACTTTCATGTTTAGTTGCAGGGGCTAAAGTTTTTTTTTCCTAAAACTAAGTTTATATTCTTCCAGTATTTAAAAATGGCTATTAAGAAAATCAGAGGCATCTACACTTTTCTGGGTACGTGCCATATAAATGGTTTGTTAGAGTCAGCCCACATTGGTTTGTGAAAGCCAGTTTAGTTTTTAGAGATTTTTGCCAACCAGTTATTAAACACAACTGTTACTAAAAATTAAATGTTCTATAAAGTACTTAACATTTGTCACTTCCTAATTATTTTATTACATTGTAGTATAATCTCTGCTCCTGAGGTTCTTTGCGCTGATTGGATTGGTGTGGTGCTGGCTGGTGCCCTGGTGTGCGGCTCCTCTCAGCCTCACCCTCCGTGGCATCGTGCCGCCAACTCCGAATCAGCCATGGTAGGAGTCCTTACTCTGTGGACATGTACAAATTCCACTGAACAGCTTTTTCTCCCAGGAGAGTGCCGCACCGCTGTGGAGGAGGAAAAAAATAAATTCCCTCCGACCCTTCTAAATTCTTCCAGCTGGACAAATAATCAAATTAACATGAGGCAGATTAACAAGAGAAAATGACCAAATTTATTATGTATACACCTATGGAGGTTCCCTAAGAATGTGAAGCCTGCCATCTTTAACAGTGGAACACAGAAAGGACTTCGTCTAAATGGGCCTTGCGAGGTTCCTCCCTGTCTGTCACACTAGTTCATATTGAAATATAGTTATCTGTGATAATAGCTCCCTTCCTGCAGGCCCTCTGTCTAAATACTTTTAGGCAGTTAGAGGGAAAGGCTAAAGGTTTTTCCTGAGTCTGCTATTCTTTACAAATAACCAGCTTAAACTAATACCTATAAAAGGGCATATTTCGGGGTGGCAGACCCAGCCTTGCCTCACCACCATGCGCAGAATGTAAATATGTCATCAGCAGAGTTGTGGTAGCTTTTGTAGTTCCCTTGACCATGGCTGCCTTCTTTCTGACCACGGAGCCCTGCTCATCCCTTCGGGAACTGGGTGAAGCTTACCAAATGTTGCTACTTGGAAATGAGTCTCTATGGGCCCTCAGTCACTTCTTCATACCATTAGTTTCTTCTCCTTAGTGTTTGATGAGACTGTTAATACATTGTTATGTTTTTCAAAACATTTTTAACTGCTTTTATACCTACTGGATCTAATTATTTGAGAGTAACAGACTCTCAAGTTGATTCTTCTATTTTATTTTTTTTTAATAACATAGGGAGTATAGGAAGATTTTAAAATTAGTTGTTTCCTTTCTCTTTGTTCTTTTAAATAGGATGTGATTTTTTTTAGCAGGGTTGCTTTTATATAGCTTAATAAAAACATGTGTGTACATGCATTTCTTAGGGCAGTTTGTAAGGAGATTCAAGTATGACTTGCCTAATGTTGGCCGGGATTATGAAGCAGGGATGTGTGGGTATGTGCACACACACGTGTGTGGGTGTGGGTGTAGGTGTGGGTGTGGGTGTGGTATTGTGATTTTATTTCTGCTTTTTGGTTCAGATAACAGAAAAAAAAAGGCTAAGGGAAAAGCACATTAGATATCAGGAGTCTAGCTCTCTAAGCGTATGAGGTTTTTCTCTTTAGTTGCTTGAGAAAGTAATAATGTGTTTTCTTTCAAAGATAGGCTTGCAGGATCTCCTTCCCCGACACTCACCACCCCCCCAAAACAAAACCAAACAAAACAAAACAAAAAATACACACTCTCTCTTTTTACCCCATAGGGTGTCTGTGATTTTTGGTTAACTTTGATGAGAGCCAAATAGGTGGACCATATTTTTAGAACTGTGCCAGAGGGAATTGTGGCACATTGAGCAAGTATTTTAATTCATTGGTATATACAAATGACTTTTTTTTCTGTTTCACACATTGGATGGTAGTCACTTCAAAAATGATATAGTTATTGGTTAACAACTCTAGGAAAGAATGTTGTGTCATATGAATCACTATTCTGTGGTGTTCCCTTTATGTGAGTTTTATATCTATAAGGAATCAAATAACAGATGTAAAGTGTATCATGTTTGTAAGAATTTCTCCTTGTACATACAACATCCTCTTTTGCACATAAGGACCTCCGGTTGCCTTAATTAAAGTGACTTTGTGTCTCAGAAAGCTGCGTGCACTTACTGAGCCTGTGAGCATGACTTGTGAACGTAATCATTCCACGTGCAATGTGCAGAGCAGGTGGATGGGCCGAAATTTTGAGTCTGTATATGTTTGATTCTCAGATGCTTGGCTATTCAAATTTAATACTGTAAAATATTTCTAAGGATTCTGCAATTATATGAAATTTTCACGAAGGAAGGAAGGCAGGAAGTCTGTACTTTAGAAGGAGAGTGATCTGTTGTGTAATGTTTTAAATGTGTTCATTTTTAAATGAAAACACCAGCATTATTGAACAACATGTTTTTGTCTTAGTTTCTATGTCCAACTTGAAATAATTAACACAATATTAAGCATTTAAAATTACCTAGTCTTCTATTTTCAGCCCTGGTGTAAGTGCAATCTGATACTACTTTTCCTGCAAAATCAGAATTATTATCATTCGAATGTCCTAGAATTCTATGCACTCTATGACTGAAGATTCTTAGGACTGACCTTACTGTGCTCATCTCAGGTTTATATGTGCTATTATCCAAACGTGACAGCTGAGAGCCTGTCACAATGGAAGCTAAAACAAAAGTAATGTTGCAGCATTACCATTATTAAAATCAAATCCTCCAATTACAGCTAAAATGATGACCTAGTCTCTACAGCATTGTTTTATTCAGTCTGTAAGAGGAAATAGATAATTTAGTTTGAAACCTAGTTTGGTTGAAATCAGATCTACTGCTCTTTCCCTTTTTAGAATATAATAGTTTTCAGGACACAATGAACATGATCAGATTTTAAAACTTAATGTTGTAGTTGGATTACCTCTTTTAGGCTGTTGAGAGAATAACAAACACGATTGACTGTTGCACTTCCCTTACCTGTACGTACTAACTGTGTGTCTGTACCGTGTTTCTCGTTCAGCCTTGCCAAACTGAAGC